ATGTTGCCACCTTGTCTCCGTCTCCTCACACTGCAAGAAGTATCAACCAGAACTCAAACCATATCTTCTCATCTCAATGTCGGATCAAGTTGGCTCTCATGGTGGTGTTCTATCGAGAGTTATCCAGAAAAGCTCTCAAGTGGTGATTGCGTTTTGTGTTCTTCCTGTCTTTCTTTCGTTTTGTTCATGTTAGCAGATCAGCTTGTGAAACAGAGCAAAACCGGTTGAATGCTTCGTATCAGTCGGTCGTATCTCTGAATCGATGGTAGATTAAACCATAATACATCAAGAATTGATTGTTAGTGGACTGCCTAAATTTCAACCAGATTGACAGTGCCAAAGAATCATTGAATGCAATTTGGATGTGGGCATTGCATCCGACTCTTAGACAATCGGAAAGTGCCAAACCTGAGACTGCAGTTGCATCTCAAATGTTTTGTTCCCATCTTCCTCGTGGGCTTCGAAAGCGAGTGCTGCGGAGACGGTGAAACAATAGAATCCTATGAAGCAATGTTTCACTGGGAAGAAGGCCAAAAGGAATGGTACATTTCCTCCTTGCTACCTGGGATGGTTGAAAAGTAGGACAACCAATTCCCTTCTCTTAATTATCTACGTACGCATGGGAACTAATCCTCTGTCATTTCCTCTTGGCCTGACACTAGGAAGTCCTTCTCTTCATTGCTTGCTCATCAATGATGGCAAGCTGCTGGTAAAAAAGGACCTGGATTCAGTGAGAGTGATCATTGGTTCGTTTATCCTCTGTACCATCAAATCCAACTGGAATGCTTCTGATCCTGAATACAGATCTGTTTAGGTGAAACTAACAATCTCAAGATTTGCTTGTGCATGCTGAGATTGCAAAATGATAGATGGATAAAGATTTGGGTGTGAAAGACCAAAAAAGCACAAAAAAGATATCTTTGCTTGCAACCTAAGGTAGAGAGTAATGAGTGGGAACCAAACTAAAGGTAGAGTAATGGCTTGAGCTGCAGGAGATTGGTGGGACATATGGAAATTATGCACAGAATTGTGGGGTGGGAGGGTCCTCTCTTGTACAATGCATGGATGAATCATACATTTCGACACTTGTTACGACATTTACGGTTCATGTAGATCTCTCGTTGGTATATGTATGCAATTTAACATCATGATTTGGTGGGTCATAGATAGATAGATAGATAGATAGATAGATAGATAGATGTAGGTGAAAGAATGAAAACAATTTTGCTTGCAATTCACCATTCATCATAACATTGTCACCAATAATGTTGGTAGGTAATAAGTCTTTTTCCTTTGTTATATTTGTTCATGTGCTTTTGCCTTTGAGAAATAATTCCATCACCCACCGCCTCACTTCTCCACTCTTCTTCTTCTTGACTTCTTCTTTTCATAACAGAGAGGAGAACACATGAATAAGAATTCAAATAGAAGGGAGAGATCAAACTTCATTTAACATTCCAATCCCAACTTGTATTGCTTTTCACACCAAGGAAGATAACAAGAGAAGAAAAGAGCTAACATAGCATCACCTCTTCTGGATCTTCATAGATGTAGAGAAGAGAAGAGAAGAGAGAGAGAGAGAGAGAAAGAGAGAAGCTACAAGATATCATCAGGGAGAAGTCGATCAACCCACTCTCACCTTCTTATTTGCTGGGCACGGCAACGGGACAAAGACCGAGGCGAGATCGGTCGGCACTGGGTAGTAGCCGTTCGGAGGAGGCCGAAGCTTCCTCTTAGCCGGCCGAGGTTTCCTCGGCGCCGGCGGGCACACCAATGCTGGCTTTGCTTCCTGCTGCTCCGACCTCGGTGTAACACAGTGCTCCACCTCTTCGCTGCTCGTCGACTTCGATTGGTCTTCCTCCAGTGGCTTCATGTCAATGGCGCGAGTCTGAATTGGAGGAAGGGATCGCGGTTCACGATGGGGGAACTCAAACCCCATCCCTTGGTGTATATATATAGGAGAGTTTACAACTCTGGAGAATTCAAAGCATGGATGTAAGGAGGTAGCGGATGAGTGGAGAAGATGCTCACGACATAGTCTGCTTCAGGTGGAGAAGGAGAGTATACGAGGAGTTACATGAAATGGTGGTGGTGATTGACTTGTGCAGGAAGGGAGTTAAATACTTCCTCTGAGAGAGAGAGAGAGAGAGAGTTAAGAATACAAAAGGTAGAAGGTACCAAGGTAGAGAGAGAAGGTAAGAAAGGAAGGAGAAGTGAGATGAAGTGGCAGCCTCAACTCAAACCTTTGCTGTTTCACGTGGAAGAGAAAGAGCCATCATATGGGCAATGACATCAAACCTAATTGGATTAGAAGACTGATCGAGACATTGTCTCATAGCAGAAGATTGAGGGGATAGACTCCCATCATTTTGTTTATGTTCATGTAAGGGAAAGTATTAACATAATGCACCATTACTTCTCAGTCCATCACATTAAATCCACCACCACTCGAGAAGAAACAATCTTCCTCAAGGCATCCATCCCACTTCAATGTGTTTGGCTCATGTATAGCATAGCAACATCAATCCTTGTTCTAATCCAAACTGATGCCATGAGCAAAAAAAGCTGCCCAGTTCACATGGCATTTGCTGGGCTCACAGGTTCTTATCTTTCCTTTAGAGCTTAGTTTAACTAAATAAACCTGCTGCTTTCCTTTGGAGACATAAGGCTGGAAGGTGGATTATATATATAAGTAACAGGACATGATTACATCAGTATTTGACAGTCATGTGTGCTCGTCAAAACAAGAAGAACTCAGTTGCTGTCAATTCTTTTTTTTTTACCTGATCAGACTTGATGAATCAAATCACAGGTTGGTTAAGAGAGGATTTCACACTTGGGGATGATCCTAAAACCCCCAACTAAAAGAGTGTTGTAGTCAAGACTAGTTTCTCTCTACTCAGCCATTAATGGTTGGGTGGGTGAGGACAGCCATTAAATAAATTGTGGAAGTACAATTCTGAAAGAGATGGTAAACACACACTCTCTCTCTCTATCATCATAGGCTTCTCCACTGCATGTCATTTAATTCTGGAAGAGGTCTCCCTACCATTTCTCTCTGCAAGAAATTAAATTGTTTCTACAACAAGTGGAATCTCGATCAGTTTGGTTAGGGTCATAGTAAGAGTTATTGAGGCCCTTCCTTGCCTTTGCGATCATCCTAGTCCTCCACACCCTTCTTCCCCCACCAAATCACCAAAACAACAAAGAAGAAAGGAAAAGAGAAGGGTGATTCTGTGAACCAAAAAAGGGTTCAGATGTGTGGAGGTTAAGTAAACGCCGCTTTACCAAAGTGGAATTCATGAGGTGCATATGGCATACAGGGAAGAAGCTCACCACCACATCCAAAATTTATGGATGGTTGTTGGGTAATTGCATACTCCACAATTATGATGGCAGATTCTATTCCCACAAACATGGAAACCTGCAAGTAGATTAAATGAACACAGGGTTTCTTTTTGGCATCCAGGAATTTTTGGTGTAACGTGTGACGAGGAACAAGCAAAGAGATGCTCAAGTATGAAATAGTCTGGAACAACAGAGGTCACTATTATCCTTTTTTTCTTTTATTGTTATCATCTTTAGAAGGTGATGGTCAAATATGTATTCCCTCAGACAATAAATACTGTTAAAAGACCAAGGAGACTTTGCTGATCACAATGCACAAATAACTATGGTTGAAGATAGAACATGAGAGGAGATGAATCAGAAGAACCAGTACTTAAAAAGAGTTTTGAGAGTAAGTGAACACAGTCGCAATATATCTTTTCACAAGACAAACTTCCAAGAAAACAAAGCATCAGTCAAAACAGGCATTTGTGTCAGATGTTGAGGTTAAAAATTTCACCACACTCTGCTTCCACTCAAATATGTGCAGATTTAAAAGCTTAGAGTAGGAGAGAAACATGAACGAGACCACCACACGCACTCTCTCTCTCTCTCTGTGCAATTTTCTTTAAAAAGATACTTTCAATATAATAACTTAGACAACAAAGATGCATCATGATATCTAATCTTCCAGTCTTCCACCACCCCAAGCTATTAAAATACAGAATGCCTTGGGAGTTGGGAATCTTCATGGAATTATAAGAACATAGGTTGATGAGCCGCAGGGTATATGAAGACATATCGGATCCCACAAAAGGTGGATGATATAAAAATCATTTGCTTAAGCATGCAATACCATACATTTAACTCTAAGCGGCCACTAGTAAATTTATGTGGCTTTATATACAATTGCTTCTTCCCTCGTACATCCATTTTCGACTAAATCAAAGTATTATGGGTAGCAATCTACATCACTGTTCCCAAATCTCACCTAATCCTACACTAACGCATATATGATCTACATGCCACTTGTTCGGAGCCTCAACAGGACATAGTTAATGCATGATCGATCAATAGCTTGTGGCCTTTCGATCGAGACCGCCACTGAATATAATGTGAGTAAATTACATAATAATCAAAGACTAATATTTTTGCTAGAATAAGAGAGTGCAAACAGAAACCCATAAAAACTGTGCATGCCATTCTTTGGCAAACCATTTATTTATAACAAAATTGGTGTTCCTTGCTAAACTAAACTTGTAGCACTTGCAAAAATTTGATTGAAATCAAGAAATGTGGTATATAAACTTTTGCACAAATAAAGAAAAAGAAGGAAATCCCACATACCAGCAGACGACCGGCAGCAGCCCGGAGAAGCAGCATGATGAGTGGGTGGCCGGTCACCCAGACTCAGTGATCAGTGAGGGCTGTTTCATGTCTATGCTTGTTTCAAAGAGTGCCAAGGATTTCTGTGGTAGAAAGACAATCAAAATGGATTTTGTGAAGCAAAACCTGTGTTCATACAAAACACTGAATCTGACAACCAGCCAGCGCTACCAATGTCACAACCAGCTAATGGAGAACGCTACTTCATACATTTAGTTTGTAATTCACACCGATAACAAGATATATATGCATTTCTTTCACAAAGTTGTCTACAGAAAAATAAGCAAATTCATTGTGCCACAAGTTCGGTTGCTAGCATATATATTGTCTTATATAAATATTGGCAAAAGTATCACAGAATGTCATGCTGCTAGTCCTATACAAAGAAATAACACAAGTTGGCTGATGACACGGGCTAAATGTGAGGCCAAATGTGCACACACAGTTGTCTATGGCTGTTCATTGGAGCCTGCCTTCACCAAAGATCCATCATCTGCAGCAAAGAATGCATCAACCGCAAACAAGCTTAACCGTTTGAAGCCATTCTTCGGGCAAAACAAACAGTTTCTATCAAGTCCAAGGATGTTAAATTCGTCTTCAAACACAAACGATGTCGCTTGTTATATACTCACATTAAAAGGACTGTCTATACAACTGAAATCATACCTCTTTTGCTGCACCAGGTACAACACCAGCTAAAATAATCGCCAAATGGAGTCTTGGGCACTGGGAGAAGCTTTCCTAGAAGAGCCAGAGGCCAACTGAACGAATAAAAGCAATATGATTAAGCATCCTTCGATAAGCTCTCAAGTCAAAACATTTGGTCTTTCTTACCTTGTAATCAAATTTTGAATTATCTACTAGTTTGGATTGAAAGAATTGAAAAGAAAAATCAAGTGTCTTGTCTGACAATAAGTGAGATTAAAGTCGCTTTTGGCTGTAGGGTTGAGGAGAGAAAATTCACTCAGAACCCACCATCTCTCAAAGAGGAGAGAGATTATGTTGTCCCAGAGATGAAGGTAAAGGAATCAGCCCTCATCGCCTCCTCCCAGAGTAGTTCCAACTACTCTTAACACATACCTTATAAAGGCAATGACAATAGAAACTAGCCACAACTTCCAGTTTAGCCTGACAGTCGAAGTAAACTTCCCAAGAAACTCAATAATTAAAACCTGCATTGATAAAAACCATCTTAAGCTAGTTGATACACAATCACCTAAAAAGGCTAAAATAAGCTGCATGCCTAATCTTTAACTACCAAGCGTATTACTTACCTGAAGCAGAGTAGTTATTCCTACTATTCCCATGAACACGCGATTTCCAATGACTCCACTGAAGATATTCAATTCATCTGGTTTCCGAGCATTAAACTCGTTGAATATCTGATAGACAGAAAATTATTTAAGTATATGGAGGAAAGTTTATATGAGCTTCGTCAATTCAGCAGCCTATGTAAGAATTATTAGCTTGCCTGACATAGGACAAAAGTATTAAATATAAATGTGTTTTTAACTTTGTCTGCATGTGCTCGACTGTCATTCCTCAAATGCAGGATGCTTCGGCCACCAAAATTGAGTACAAGAAGAACTGTAACTTGATACAGAGCCTACATTTCAGGACACCAACCAGATGCAGGTAGCCAAGATAAGATAGATAATTATAATGTCATCCAAATTATACTGTAATGTCATCTAATTATACTAAATACCTGAATTGTGAGATTCCTCCACATAATATTCGTAATAAGAGGCTCCCTAAGAAGAAAACGAAAAGGACATCAGCAAACATCATTTTGATACAGAAACTTCTCATTTGTCACACAAAATCATGGCATAAAAATTAATTGATTCAAGAATTATAAGCTTGCAGATAACGGAAATGAAGCAGATAATGCAACTAGATATCTGATATAATCACTCATAAATAAACTGACTTCGGGTTAGAAGATTAGATACCTTCATGGTGCAGTCCAGCTTGATCATGTCAACGAAGAGACAAAAACATTAAGTCACCTTATAGGTACAAAAACTCCATCCCTCGTTGTTATTTGCAATCAAATACCACGGTTTTAAATTAATTCAAAAAGAGGTTCATGTTGTCAGTTACTGTTGAAAGAAGAGACCATATATGTTTTGCACCCCAGAGAAAAAAAAAAATGTTGCCTTCCATTATTTAATCTCCCTTTCGTCATCTCTGCCAATGACAGAGTATATCTGGGAGAAGAATAATGCTAGTGTTTTACCAAAGATAAGAATTGCAGCAATTGAGCAGCACCAATGATGAACTAATGGTGATGGCATAGGAGAAAATGATGGCGTATTGAAGGTCATGAATATAAGGTGGTAACAAGTCATGACGGAGGTGGAGGTAGTATGGTGCTATAGTAATGAAGGGAAACCAATGGCAAGGCAGATATAGAAAAAGATATGGAGAGGTGTTGATTGCTTGTGCATGTTTCCAAAAAAATTCAATATATTTTTACCATAAAATTGGAACTTCAAACCATAAATTAAAATGTCAGTCTGGTACAGATGCTGACTGGTGGCTAGACCAGTGCAATACTGATACAAGGTAGTGTACCAAAACTGAACATGGGTCAAGTACCAATCATTACCCTTGGACCTCAGAGAGGGAGAGAAGATAAGGCGGAAAGGAGGAGCTACAGAAAATGAAGAGGAGGGACGAGCACACATAGCAGTGGGAGATGCTTACCAGTCCCTGGATGGACCTGTATGGGTCCCATGGAGAATACTGACACACTGTATATTGGTAATGTTGGCTGTAATGGTTCCAGCTGGTCTGGACCAACCAAAACCCCCAAAAAAACCTTTTTATAATGATTTCTATTTATATACAATTAAAATTCATTATACACTACAAAACAGTGAATAATGAATCAAAACATGTTTTGGCATGGATTACAAACTGTAATTAAAGAAGACATGCATATACAAGTTTAAACATAATATTTTTGTTGTGAAATTTGATTACATAGCATTGCTCTTGATGTCGACACCTCGTTAAAGATAACATAGCATTGCTCTTGATGGCCCCAAAGTTATCAGTACTTCTCTGTTAAACTCATGAACTAAGTACTTCTGTCTCTAATCCCAGCTTCATTTTCATTTTGAAACAATATAAGAATTTGATATGTGCAGTACATGATTTTGATCATAGCTTGACCATAATCTCTATGCCAACTGCGTCTCAAAATTTGATAACAAACAAACTCTCTGTAATGTTTATGTGTCTGTATAATTGTATATAATATTCAAGGACAGGATGAGATGTCCACTCATAGACTAGCATGCTTAAAGCATAATACATGACGAGAGATGAGTAATGGCATATGATACATGGAACAATTTATTTACAGGGTGCAGAAAAGTTGCTGCACCTTATAATGTTCGATAGATAGATTTCCAAGACTAAAAATATCATATTAATCAAATAAATGCAATCTTCTTTATGCTTAATAGCATTAAAAGTTCCCAACTCAAAGAAACTCTATTGTTACCAGATTGAAAGAGGAAAAACCACAGATTTAGCAATGCTGTCTGTGAGACAGAAAAACACCAAAAAGAAATGCTAAGCAATCAAAGATAAATCCTTGAATTTTTTAACATCGTGCAGATAAAGAAAAGAACAGAGTAATGCTTCTACAGTAGTTCTTCACATCTACCTTCGCCCAACAGGGGGCCTGTCCATAAGGTGGTCGGTTGGAGTTTCAGTCGCCAATGCAAGTGCTCCAAGGGTGTCCATGATGAGATTCACCCACAGAAGCTGTTTAGATAAGCAAAGGGTGAATTATAATGGAACATTCAGCTGTAGGAAGATTAGGAGGACCTGTACCAAAGATAGCACAAAGAAATCTAAAGAAGATGACCTGTTAGGGGAGCATTTCTCAGACATAGCAGATCCCTAATTCCGTATATTTTCACAAAAAAAAAAAGACTATTCCAGTTCAAAAGGTTTCCGCCTTGGCAGGAATTAGGATAGGTTAATGTATGTAGCTTTATCCCTATAAGCAAAGAGATTGTTTTCATAAGTTAAAGCCAATCACTGAGGGCATGACTGGCAACCTAATCATGAAAATGCTCAACCTCGATTCCTTTTTTTTTTTACGACAAGGAGAAAACTGCAACCTGAGAATCACATTTTTTTTAGCAAATAAGCAACTTGATTTTTTACCCTCGTAGGCATGTGATCTTATTTTTGGCAAGGCACATACTGAGATTTGCTTGATTTATCTAAATTGAAGCTGACAACCAAAAGAATTTTTTGTCCAACCTGAACAGCATTTAAAGGAACATCTCCAGATGAAACAGCAGCAACAACGTTGATAATAAGTGCTGCAACATTGACTGTTAGCTGGAATTGGATAAATTTTTGAATATTGGCATACACAGAACGACCCCAGCGAACAACCTAGAATGGAAAAGAAAATTAATAGAATGATGACTTATCTTTAAGCTTCTTCAATACCAGCCAAAATCTAATGTCATGTGTTTGACGTAAGTACCTTTACAACTGATGTAAAATTATCATCTAGGATAATAATGTCAGAGCTTTCTTTTGCTACTTCTGTTCCCTGAATACCCATTGAAAGACCAATATCTGCCTGAACACCAAATTACAAGTCAATAGGTGGTGATGCCATGTATAATAGCTTGAAAAACTGAGAGCAAACGATTCTATACTTCATGAAGCGCAGGAGCATCATTAGTGCCATCCCCTGTTACAGCAACAACATGATCTCTTCTCCTAAGTGCTTGGACAAGAAGCAGCTTGTCACTGGGAGATGACCTTCCCATCACCTATAAGATTAATGACCCAAATTAATGCTGTCTCAAAAATTGGACTGGATGAATTGAGATCTGTCATTCTTCATTGTAGTTCACCTGACCTATTAGCCAAGCAGATTTTAGTTCCGCATATAAATCAAATATTACCATTTATAAGGGTTCCTTTAACAGTCCACAAAAAGAAATCCTAATATTACCACCATGAACTCCGGAAAACTTCAAATGGTTATATAGATGTAAGATCTGGGTAACTTTTTCCTTACAGTTATTTGCTCCACTATTGCATTTCTTTCTGCATCGGTCTTCATACGAAATGTTCTTCCCTCGATAAGAGTTGGCTCTGAAGCATTGGCATCTGTAAGTATCCCACACTCCAAAGCAATTGCTTTCGCTGTCTGAAGATTATCTCCAGTAACCATGCGAACCTTCCAAATTAAGAATTTAGGGGCTTGTTAAAGCATGTTCAAGACTCTAGAGCACATCCTTTGGGTCATCAGATTTAGTCTTCATGCAACATGATTCTGTGTTGTATAGGACCTTATGACTTCACTTTGTAGACAAATCTAGTAAATATGATCATCTGAAACATGTAAAACTATAGATGCTGATCTCCCATATTAACCAACCAGAATGACTTCAACAATGTAATTCATTCAGGTCAAGGATAGTCATTATGATGTTGATATGTATGACATCACAGCTGCCATTATATTCCAACAGAAATTATTAGAAGTACCTTAACACCTGCATGAGTACATAAATCTACAGCTTCTTTCACACCAGGGCGACATGGATCCTGAACATGAACAAAGTATTAAATCGAATAGCCACAAGTAATTTTCAAACAATAAGAATGATGATGCACACAAGTAATTCCACGTCGAAGGTGAACTGAAATAGTCAAAACATGTAATGACAATATCAAGGTTTGCAATATCGCTCTATACAGTATTCATCAGTCCAATAACCTACCGGTACATGGACCAAGGTAAACCAAACGTTGGTACTATTCAGTACAAGGCCTGTACGACCCGACACAGATTCAGCACAGGTTTCTATAGGTCCAATACATGCATGGTATTTGACAGTTTCCATTTTTGTTTGTTCAGTTTTTTTCAGAATTTTTTTTTAAATTCAGTACGTACCAACGTGTCGACACTCGGTACAACAGTATGGACCAGCATGGTACTGGTCCAAGCCCCGAATAGTATAAGAACTTTAAGATTCACCAAGCATGAGACAGAGTTTCTACTCTACCAACAGAATGATGTAACTAAAGATGGGCAATATAAGAATATAACAAAATTTTCGTCATCAACCCTGCATAAATTAGATTTCTAAATTTTTCTCCTTAGTGAAGAGAGCATTTGATGTAAACGAGTGATAAGATAATCTAAAAATGTGTAAATATTAGCTATAGACATCAACAAAAACATATTGATCCCTCATGAATGTTTCTTCGCAACGCACTTTTATTCCCACAATAGCAACCAGAATCAGGTCATCCTCTGGCAATAACCAGTTTTCTCTCTGTTCCTCGTCTGGAACCTTTTCCAATTCAAATGATCTGTACGCAAAAGCAACACAGCGAAGGCTAACTTCTGCCATATTGTCAATATACTTCTTAAAAGTATCGGCCTGCAATGACAATTTATTTAGAATCCAATTTATAAGTGAAAATTTGAATGAATAACAAATCGAGTAGAGTTACCTCAGAAGTCATTGGCTTCTTGGAACCATCTGTATCAAGCCAACTTGTACATGAGGCTAGGACAATCTCGGCAGCACCTTTCCAGTGTACATGAACTTCAGAACCTGCCTGCAACCACAAGCGATATGCGCCAATAAGGTCAACAAATTTGGGACAGAGTGCAGAAAGATACTAATATATCAAGCATGATTAAATGAGTGAGTTAATGCATATAAATGGAGAAAGCATCTTGCAACTGCAGGCCATGGTACACGTACACTATATCTAGAATGACAAAAACACTGAGTAATTGATGTTCAATATCGGCGTACCATTATGTATCTATACCTAGGAGGCTAAGACATATTTAGTTAACATTAGCACCATGCACAAAAAATCATCAAGTATACTTAATTTGGCAAGAAAAGAACAAGAATGTCGACCATAAATTAAGCAAAATGTTTATGGTGAGAGGGTTACAATAGTCACAATTGCTAACAAAAACAAGAATCACATCAACCTAAAAAGTAAAAGGATCCCACAAAGAATGTCATCAAATCACTTGAGAAAGAAACACAATAGACATATTTCAAAGTGAGTCAGCGTCAAGTCACATGCACCTACAAAGAAAGATAATTTATTCCGAGTTTTTGACATTGTTAAAATGAACAGGAAGCAAGATCTAGATGCAACTGAATGCATTTCAATCTTTTGAAAGCACATATCACCAATCCCCTTATCAAGGATTGCAAAATGTGATAACCTGATACACTGCAACACCACCACGCTTTTTCTCTGAGTTGAAAGGGAACACATGAAGAATTGAAGTTTTTGATCTTTCACTATCAAACTTCATCCCAAGCTGCATGATCTCACCAGATATGATCAGCAATTGGAAAAAATAGAGAAAATGAAACAACGCACCACACCATAAAGTACCTTCAACCCCCACAAAAGAATGGCCTTCTCAGTTGGTGAACCAGTAACCTCAATAACTCCACCATCCTAATAAGATAATGTAAAAGCTTAAGTTTTACATCTGATAGTAGAAAATTTTTCAGAAAAGACAGACAAAAAATCAGTATCAGACACCAAAAATTTTGGGATTTAGGTCAAGAGAAGGCCCCTAGGTGGTACAAGAGAAACAAAAAAATTGTTATGATGATGATTAAAATTGTTATGATTATGATTAGTCTAAAATAGTTGAGAAATGGACATCATAATTTAGTCTTATTTTCAGGGTACATGTTTAGAGGGTAAGCTTGGCACTATGATAAGGTTGGCGTCCTTTTAGAAACCACAGTATAGCCTCATCTTCATAGCATATTATGTTTTTATGCCATATTTAAAGTAACTGTGGAGTGGTAGGATTTAGAGGTAAAACATACTAACATTAAAAGAAAATGAATGGAGATTGAAGAGTATCAGAAGACAACTACTGTGTATGGGCATCTCTAACCAAACATATTAAAAAAGGGTAGCATAAAGAATTCTTGGTGCACTGTGCACCTTAGTGTAATGATGAAATCTAGTGAGAATCTATGGTAAGAGACGAAAGTTGTTACCTGGATTGTTGTGGAATGTAATTAGATTATGTAATTTGATATTTATTTCCGATACACAATACGAAGGGCTAACCTCAGCTGGAATGTTTTTTCCAGTTGCAGTTCAATTGGAGTTGTTCATGTGGTATGATGGACTTTGTTAGCAACCTAATTTGGTTTGGTATCCTTATCTAACTTTTATTTAAGCTATTATGTAATAATGGATTATTTTATCAATTAAAATTACCCTACATTCTTTATCAAGACTCTGATTTTGTAATTATTTTTGTAAATAGAATAAAGAACAGAAAAAACCCTTTATATGGCAAAGAAAATTATAATTGTTAATATAAAGCTAATTTACAAATAATAAATTATAGATATTGACTAAACAGCACCTCTTTCTCTTCTCTCTCCTTTATTGACTAGGCCTGATGACTCTAGTTATCAACAGTTAAAGTAGCTAAAAGATCAACAAAGTCCACTGGTTATATATTCAGTAAATCTCCTATCCAAAACATAAAATTTAAATCTTAGATAAGAAATATTATACAAATTATTATAATGCATATATATATATATATATATATATATAAAGAGAGAGAGAGAGAGAGAGAGAGAGAGAGAGAATGAATTTACCTCTGGCTCAAACACACTGCCAGAAGTATTATGTGCAATTCCTTCAATCAAAAGTGAGGCTGTAATAGGAGACAACTCAACATTCTCCAGATGATTGATCTTCCTTCCACCAATATATGCCTCCACAACAGTCATCTAAAGCTTTATGTAATCGAGGTTAGATGATAAATACCAAAAAAATAAAAGAAAATGGCCCAATCGTACCATTAATATACTACATGTTAGGACTATTAAGCTATTAAGTTAACAGTGATGACAGATAGCAAGTTAGGACTATTAAGCTATAGAATAGCAAACCTGATTCAAGGTCAAAGTACCAGTCTTGTCACTACATATAGTTGTAGCTGACCCCATAGTTTCACATGCTGAAAGCCTCCGCACCTTGAAAAAGACGCTCTTAGACCAATTTGAGTATGGATATCAAGAAACATCTTCACAACTCTTTAAGTTCAAAAAAGAAAACTTGCCAGAGCCTTGTCTGCCATCATCTTCCGCATTGAGTATGCCAGGCTAGATGGAACAAGAAACTATGATAAATTTGGAAATCAAAGGCAGACTTGTGTCATTTATCTTGGATTTCAAAATAGCTTTGCATGCTTACGTCAAGGTAACCGCCAACGGTAGCCCTTCTGGAACAGCCACAACCACGATTGTCACCTAGTCATATTTCTATTGCAGCTAAGAGAGAAGGTGGGCCATTGGGTAAACAAATAAACAAGAGTTTACATCAATACTTACCGCAACTGTGAAGATTTTAATGGCTCCATTTACTGCAGCTTTCACATTTGTCTGCCCCTTTGCAAATTGAACAGATCCATTGGGATTCTTGGTATGTCCAGTAAAGTATCTGGAAATGTTTTATTTCTATAACTATTACAATCTCTATGAAATTCAAATAATTATATACTTGCCACTTGCCTAGCTAGAAGAACTAAAAGAACAGCAGCAGCTACTGTGAGCCCTGCAATACCAATGAAAGTAGCAACACCATTCAAGCGCACCTATTACAGAATAATTAATGCCAATGTCATAGATAATAACTTTGATGCACTAATGTTTATACACAAAAGATCAAACCTGAAGAGGAGTCTCTTCACCAGTATCCTCTGATATACTGGACATTAATAAGCCCCATTCTGTATTTATACCTACAGCAGTTACCTGAATATAATATGGAACAATAAAGCCATAAATGTATATTAGAATACGTCAAGATATTAGCATAATTTGGTCGAAGTTTAAACTTAAATTTAAACAATTGAACAAGCTCAGTGTTTAACAATTCTTGAGGGAAAGCCTGGTTACAGGTTCAAATCATAGAAATAGCCTTCCTATTTACAAGAGTAATGATGTATTCATCGACTGACCCCAGACTGAAGTCTTATGCAAGCCTCGTGTTAATGATTTAACGATTCTTGAACTAGGAAAGGCTTCTATCCAAAAACAAAATTCAAGTTCATCACATGAAGGATGAGCATAGAGGACCTATTTTGTCTCATCTGATAGGTTTTACATTTGCAACTAGCACAAATGCCCATAAACAACGCAAAGATCTTCAAAAGAGAATATGTTTGATCTTTTTTGGCTAACTTATATTTATATTTAAGCTCATGAAATCAACAGAAACAAATGAAAGATTCACATAAAACATGCATAAAATACCTACCAACATGTTACCATAACCATCAGCAACTTTACATCCAGACATCAAAAATGGAGCCTTTTGATCTTTGTGGACCTGAAATAATACATCATTAAACAAATTTTTTTTTCTAACTACTTAATGGACATAAAATTAGATTAATTAATAGAATTACTAGTTTCTCTGTACTTGTTTAATTGGTTCATATATGTTGCAACAGTTTAAGAAGTCAAATCAGGGTTATTTATAATTTTAAGAAAACTGAAGTTTTCGTTCATTGGATTTCTCTACATGATGGATTTTGCTCAAAAGGTATTGAAATTTTATTGGATCTTGGAACCACAAAGCTGCATTTGAGGGGCATAATTAAGCATGAGATTCCAAAACTATACCATAGAAAAAACAAGGGAACCAACGAAGCACGATAAAAAATTGAGGCATTAGGTTATATAATAAAACGAAAAAGCAACTACAGATTACAAAAAAAGAACCGTTGAAAATCTTACAATCTTACTCTCTCCTGTCATGCTCGACTCATCAATTGCAAGTGAGTGGCCAGTGATTAAAATTCCATCAGCAGGGACCTAGACAAAGTTTTAGATATCCTGTTCGCAATGAATAAGCATGTAAAACATGGACAAAAAAGAAGTTAATTGCTGAATGCCTACCTGATCACCAATTTTTAGTGGAACAACATCACCGACTACAATATCAAATATAGAGACTTTGATTCTTCTGCCAGATCTGATTACCTAAAAGTAATGTAGCAGAAAAACTAACTAAAAATACAAAAGAAGGGAAAGAACTTTTGAAAAGTCTCTAGAAAACTTTGTATAGCAGTGGAACACACCTCCATGTGTATGTTCTGCTTCTCCTCATTCAGATTTTGGAATTGTAGTGATTGCCTATAATCACTAACAGCTAGCATAAAACAAGCACACCAAACAGAACAATATCAAGAAACTCATAAATAAATACTAATTGTTTAATAGCAAAATCAATGACTTCTGATGCAATAAAGCTGCCCTGATTAGAATTACATTTCAAAAGGGATTATGAAGCCTAAGAAAAGTTAAACATATAGAAAAGCAAAAGCATTGAATCATATATGGCTAAACGTCACGTCATACAGAAAAAAGTTACAACAGTGTCAGAACACATGCATTCTCATGGTAAAATTTAAATCGGGAACAGAGGTTAAAAAGCATATTCCTTTGCCTTTCATATTTGATTATGCAACAAAACTATTTTTTATTTTAAACTCTACCAAGAAATACAGGTGACTAAAATGAATAACATTGTTTTGAGAAATGAGGTGAAGAGTTGTAAGTAGTTAAAGAGAGAACTGAATCGCGTACTTGTAAGTAGTTAAAGAGATATAAGTGAATGTTATGAATCAAAGTTTGCTAAACCAGCAGTTTCGGTATGGTTTGGTCAGTATTTGCTAGTCTGACTGCCAACCAATATGCGGCCCACCCAAACCGAGCGGTCCAGTCCGATCTGGTTGTATTTATAGATATTTAACATTTATATAGGGTTCAGGCCATTCCAGTTTTAATTAGGGATAGGGATGCGACCCCTCACGTTCACGAGGAGGCTCACACAGCCATCAGTCGCCTGCTGCTGCCTGCCTCAATATGCCTCCTCCTCTTCTTCCTTCTTCCTTCTTCCTCTTCTTCCTTTTTCTTTCTCTTCCTTCTTCCTATACTTCCTCTTCTTTCTTCATCTCCTCCCCTCCCTCCTCCAATGGTTCACCATACATTCCAACATAGACACATGGTACACCGACACAAGCTAGACATGAACTGTTCTAACCATGGACTAGATATGCACCGGTCCATTCAGTCATCAACTCCAACATCCATAAATTGAATTATCATCAAAATTTGCAATTCTTTGCAGAGTTCTTAAATTTACAATTTTACCTAATGTCTTACATTACTTATTTATCATTTCAACCATGATCCTTGAGTAGTTACTTCAAAATGCCAAACATGAGGCACTATAATAATAATTCAGTTGTGTCTCAATGGCCATAGATGTTTTCATATATAAATAAAAATATTAATCTTTTAAATGGGCTAAAGATCCTGTAACGATCTATGTTCACAGTTAAGATATTCTGGTCAGAAATAACCAATGATGAAAAATTAGTAAGGGAAACAGAGGCAAATTATCAACTACGTAGAAGCTACTAAACATGCCTTCCAAGGCAGACAACAATTTCTGTGGTCCATGAGCATTAAACATACAAAAAAGTTGGTCCATGAGCATTAAAAATACCAAAAAGTTTTGCACAATTAGTTGACTCTAATCTTGGTTGTGACATGAAACTTTAAGAAAACGACAGATATATGCTGGCCCAGTGATTTAAAAAGCGTTAGGCGTCAAAATGCGCCAAGGTCCAAAAACGCCCGAGGCGCTAGGCGCTCGCCCGAGCGAAGCGAGAC